ATTACTTCTAACCAGCCCTGGGTTAGCCATGCCTTGGCAGTCGGAAAATAAGAGAAATCTACTTATTTAAAAATTAGGTTTCCCTTTCTCTATTCGCAATCTCAATGAAACCAGTTATTGTACCAACCCTCTTAAACGTTTTTATCAAACAAAAAGGGAATGAACACCAGATGGGAGTTACCTGCCTGGTTACCAAGAGGACAGATTTTGACATCTGTCTGGGAAAACATTTTTACCCTGGAGGGGAATCAGAGCTCATGATCAAGAATCTTTTCTATCACCTTAGGCACGCTCACCAACAAAACTGCTGTTGTTGTTGTTGTTGCCCAACAAAAAAGAAAATAAACGTGTTAGCCAAGGTAGTGTTTGATAAGCACGCTGCTTTAGACTATGCTTGCAAAACAGGGTAGGATATGTGCCAGTGCTAACACAACTTGCAGTGTTTATATAATGCTTCAGATTAAGAACAAACTCATTCAGATAAAAGCAGAGAGTAAGCCACTTGGCTACAGTACATTTCCCCAGAGGGGTCTAGAGAAATTGATTTGGTTAGTGGACTCTTTTCCCAGATTCCTCAAAGGATTAGGTCAGTGTCACAGGGAATACTACGATTTGGGTTACCTATACTTTACATTAATTAGATAATGTAATAATCAAATATGCTTTCCAATGTTGTTTCAAAACAATCAAAAAAGGAACTGATATTTTGGTCATGCCAAATGTACATGTTAAGTCAAGTACCAGGGAATATTTCTAAAGGGGTACAAAGTTGCTTCATTCCTCAAATCCAGAAGCTGTGCCCTTTTGCTGCAGGAAGCAGCCAGAATGGCCACTGTCCCAACTCCTTCAAGACACAAGAGAAAGCGAAACCATGCCCATAAGGTTAATGAGGTTGAAACTAAAAGGAAATTTGAAGCTTGTTTTTCAGGGATGTGTTTCTCCCTAATCAGCTATGGTTTCTTTCCAGACCCCACTAGCAAACCCGCTAGATGTCTCTGCAGAGGCATAAGCTGAAGGTCACAGATATGGCTCCAGCCTGTGAACAAGCCTTCCTTCCCCGAGATAATGAGCTCGACACCCAATCCAGTTTATACTGGCTCACAGAACATGCACCTAGCTCCTCACCTTGTCTTAAGAGGACCTCCCGAAGGCAGGAGCCAAATTTTGTCTTTTAATGGTAAGTCTATACCCCAAAGTGAACATGGGATGTATATTACATGTATGTTTGCCAAATGTGCAAGCTCCATCTTTCCTCCTTAAAAGTCATAAGTTTCCCCACCCTTTTGGTCAACATGTATGTATTCCCTGGCACTATGATAATTTAAACAAAAACGAAAGCAACAACAACAACAACAACAACAACAACAACAAAACAACAACCACCAAAAAACCTTGTCCTGTCCCCCTTCAGGAAGGTGGATTTGAGGCTTGCCCTTCTGTCTCCCATTTTGGCTGCCTCTTGAACAAACCCTTTCCTTGCTGCATACTCGATGTCTCAGTGATTGGCTTGGCTGCGTGGCAAGGCACACAAACTTGGGTTTGGTTGCAGACCTCACACTTCTATTTAAAACATGAAGAGGCCCGCTATAAAAGTTGTGTGCTTTCAGGCAGTTTTAGCTGAACACAGTCAAGACTATTTTATACTTTTTTTGCCTCAAGTCTCTGAAATTATAACTGGAAGCAAAAGGTTGGCAAGATAAATATTTCGTGGCACAGAAAAACTAGGACTTATACACTTAAGCTCATGATTACTGTATATTTTCCAAATCACTGATTGTTCAATTTCATGCCTCAATCTAGGAAAGTTATGGGGGTCCTGCAGATCCTAGAACCTTATTCCATTTTTCACCTGATTGTGATCCAGGTTGACTTTCCCCATTATTGCTTTTACACAGTGAAATACACAATGACAAATTATTCAAGTCGCATTTTACCCATTAGTACATTCAGTGGGTGACTAAGAATAACAGCCTATTTGCTGAAATACTTTTTGAAATACTACATGAAAAAAAATTCTGGTAGCCTGGTGATAACAACATAAAAAGTGTGATATGTCAATAATCCTATAACTGACAAAGCCATCTTTGAGAAAAAACAAAACAAAACATTAAGCCCCTGTCTTTATGGTCATAAAGCAACTTACCTTTCAATCTGATTATGTTAACAGGCATCTGTTATATAAAACTCTATAGTGTCCACAGTTAATTACAAGCATGTTCTTCTTGGGGAAAAATAGTTTTTCAACTTCCACCCAGTAGCTACTATTACAAACCATATTTTTAAGCCAAAATGGAACCTAAGTAGTTAATTAAAAAAAATAAATTATATGTAGCCTAGTTAGGGAAATAGGAGTGCTTGTGTACCTCTGATAAAGGTATAAACTAGTCTACAGTTTTTCTGGGAGAAGAGGGAGTTATGTGACAACGGAGAGGAAAAAGCCTTTTAAAAATAGACATTTTCTTTGACTCTGAAATTCCATTTCTAGGGATTCATAGTAAAAAAATAATTAAAAAAATAATTTGAGTATATAAGATATGTGTTATATTTGTTTACAGTGCAGGACAGAGGAACTCACTTAAAAAGTCCAACAAAGACTTAAGCGGATACCCTGATACTGGAATACTATTTAGCTGTTAAAAATGAAATGCAATTCTGTATCTACTGACTTAGAAACAGGTCAATGATGCTGATGGGTTGGGTATGTTTACCAGAATGTAAGGTCACCACCCAAAATAACTACTGTAATCACGTGATTTTTACTTCCTCTTTTATAATTTTCTGTACTGTCCAGCATTTTACAATGAACATACATAACCTAATCAGAAAATGATATTTTCACTTTTTAGGAGGGGAAGCAATAAGGTTAAAAACTGGGTTAATTTAAAAAAAAAAGAAAATTTATTGGGGCACCTGGGTGGCTCGGTCGGTTAAGCATCTGACTCTTGGTTTCGGCTCAGGTTATGATCTCACGGTTCGTGAGTTTGAGCCCCGCTTTGGGTGACCTCGAACCTGCTTCGGGTGAGTCCCAATTCTCTCTTCCCCTTGCTCACTTGGGTCCTCTCACTCTCTCTCTCTCTCTCTCTCTCTCTCTCTCTCTCAAAAAAAAAAAATTAGGTTAACAGCCTCCAATTAAGCATGAGGAGTTCACAGTTTCTCTACGTTCCCCTTGGAAAATCATGTAAACAGTTTAAAATAATTTTTAAAGAGAAAAAGTTATTAACCACAAGGAAACACCTGAAAGGAGAGAAAGAGGACACTGGATGAGAGTTCAACAAAATTTTGGAAGACCTAAAGCAAGCAAACTAGCAGTAACTGACGGGGAGCCGAGAGAGCTAAAAGCTAACGGCCAACAGAGGACACTGACGAGAGGCAAATGGACCCCCTGAGCCCATGCCTCTGAAGACAGAGATGAGGGATACGCTGAAGAAAGAGGGTTGGCCCTCAGCTTGCACAGGGGACAGTTCTTCTCCCTGATCCTGCTCTTCCCCAGCTGGGCTGGAGACAGGTTTTCTTTTCGGAAAAGCGAACGAGAGAAACTCTGGACTCCAGGACACTAGGTACAACAGAAGGAGGGAGTAAAGCTGAGACGAAAAGGATGCTGTGGGGGTAAGAACCACCCACCCTGCCCCCAGCCCCATTCCAATTTCCTCTTTTTGGCTACCAGAATAGGCAGTGAGGCTAATATCCTCCAGGCAAGGGACTGAAGAAGTCTGCTTTGTAGAAATGGAATGACTCAAGACACCAACATCTGAATAGCCTGTTGGTAAAGCCCAGTGAGCTTTCCAAACAGTATTTTAGTGCCTCGTTCTCAAATATGAATGGACAGACAAGGATCTGCAGATATAGGAGAGGCTGTGACCAAAACAAGCAGGAAGTGGAACTTGGAGGAGATAGGCAATAACAGGAGAAGAATCCTTCATAAAAGGAGTCCCTTGAACATCCTCGAAGGAATAAGAGACAAACACACTGACTGCATTCATGAAAGAGCAACAGGGTGCTATGAAAAGAACATGGAGGAAATGGGAACGAGCTCTTGAAAATTAAAATTCTGATACTGGAAATGGAAACTCCAATAGCTAGAAGAAGTGATAAAGTAGAGAGGCTCTGGGGGCGCCTGGGTGGCTCAGTCATTTAAGCATCTGACTTCAGCTCAGTACAACAGAAGGAGGGAGTAAAGCCGAGTAAAGGAGGGAATAAAATTCATGGTTCGTGAGTTCAAGCCCCACATCAGGCTCTGTGCTGACAATTCAGAGCCTGGAGCCGGCTTTAGATTCTGTGTCTCCCTCTCTCTCTGCCCCTCCCCCACTTATACTCTGGCTCTCAAAAATAAACAAACATTAAAAATGTTTTTTAAAAAAAGTAGAGGGACTACGCCAGAATGTAAAGCAAAAAGGATGAGATGGAAAACAAAAGATAATAAAACCAGAGGATGAAAGCAGGCGGTCCAACAGTCACAGAAATGTAGTCCCAGATAAAAAGACACAAAGAATCTGGATGGGGAAAAACTATAAAAATAAGAAGGAGCAAACAGACAAAAAAGATAAATGGGTATTTCCCAGAACTGAAGGGCAGAGATCTCTAGATTGAAGGGGCCCACACCAAGTTAGTATCCACAACAATAAATGATAAGAGATCCACACCAGGGCACCTCATCATGAACTATCAGAACAAAGATGGACCATTCCGAGCACAGGCTGGGTGACCAGTCAGCAGGGATGGTTGTAACATGCGATAAGGAACTAGATAGGTTATTCTACTCTACGACATTTAAGGATCTTTCCGACATACAAATACATTTATATATGTTTCTATATATTTATTATAGTATAATAATGTATATATAATGTATGTGTATATATAATTTTTTTTCAAGAGGCAGGTTTTTAAAGCCCTGTATTTTATCATTAAAACAAAGAAATAGACGTCTCAAGGAGACTAATGCACAAGACATCATTAAATGACATCCAGGGACTTCAACAGACAAGTGATTTCTTACTTACTGGCATTGGCAGCTTCTCTAATTTCTTTCAGTATTTCAGCTTCCATGGCAGGGTTATTGCAGATATCGACCCAAGTTCCTTCCACTCCTTTCTGTTGTGCCAAAAGTGTCAACCTTTTCTGATTAGGAACCACAAAACTAATCACATACGACTGATCACTAAAAAATTAGAAAATAACACAAAATAGAAATTAAAACATTGAGAAAAAATTGTAGTTATTGAATGGAACAGTATACATAATTCCAAATACATATTTCTCTTATGTGTTACAGCTTCATTAAGAAGTAATAAAACCCATAGTCCTGGCATAAAGACAGACATTTACCCAATGGAACAGAACAGAGAGCCCAGGAATAAATCCTTGCATATATGTTAAATGATCTTCAAGAAGGGTGCCATCACCACTCAGTGGGGAAATGACAGTCTCTTCAACAAACGATGTTGAGAGAATTGGATATCTATATGCAAAGGAATAAAGTTGGGCCCTTAGCCCATACCACACACAAAAATAAACTCAAAATGGATCAAGGACCTAAACACATAAGAGCTAAAATTATAAAACATCTAGAAGAAAGCACAGGGAAGAAGATTCATGACACTGGATTTGACAGTGCTTTTTTAGATATGACACCAAATGCATAGGCAACAAAAAATTGATAAATGGGACTACAACAAAAATTTAAAATTTCTATGTTACCAAAGGACACAGTCAACAGTGTGAAAAGCCAATTTATGGAATTGGAGAAGATACTGGTGAGTCATATATCTGAGAAGAGGTTAATATCTAGAATATAGAAAGAACTCCTATAACTCAATAACAACAACAACCCCCCTGAAATAACCCAATTAAAAAGTGGGCAAAGACCTGAAACTATAAAACTCCTAAAGGAACACACAGGGGGTAAGCTCCCTTGACACCAGTCTCAACAATGTGTATTGTTGGTTTTGACACCAAAAACAAAGGCAACAAAAGCAAACATGAACAAGCGGGACTATATCAAACTAAAAAGCTCTGCACAGCAAAGGAAACCATCAACAAAATGAAAAGGCAACCTACAGAATGGGAGAAAATATTTGAAAACATATATCTGATAAAGGGTTAATATCCAAAATATGTGAAGAAGTCCTACAACTCACGAGCAAAAAAAAAAAAAAAAAATCAAAAAATGGTCAGAGAAACCAAATAGACATTTTTCCAAAGACATAAAAATGGCCAACAGGCATACAAAAAGACACTCAACATCACTCATCATCAGGGAAATGAACGCAAATCAAAACCACAATGAGTTATCACCTCACAACCGTGAGGTTGGCTATCATCAAAAAGACAAGAGATGACAAGTGTCAGTGAAGATGTGGAGAATAGGGACCCCGTGTGCACTGCTGGTGGGAAGGTAAATTGGTGCAGCCACTGTGGAAAACAGTATGGACATTCCTCAGAAAATTAAAAAGAGAATTACCATACGATCCAGCAATCCAATTGCCTGGACAAAGAAATAAAAATCCAAAGGAAATGAAAACAAGATATTGAAGAGAGACGTGCATTCCCATGTTCACTGCAGCATTAGTCACAATAGGCAAGGTATGGAAACAACCTGTGCTCATCAGATATGGGATATATACACGAGGAAATATCATTCAGTCATGGGAAAGAAGAAACTTCTGCCATTTGTGACGACATGGATGAACTCAGAGGGCATTATACTAAGCGAGATAAACCAGACAGAGAAAGACAAATACTGCATGGTATCACTTATATGTGGAATCTTAAAAACAGGAAAAGAAGTCAAACTCCTGAAAACCAAGTAGAAAAGTGGTTTCCAGGGGTTAGGGGAAAGAGGGACAGGTTGATAAAAGGGTACGAACTCTCAGCTATAAGGTAAACAGGGCCTGAGGATCTAACGTAAAAACATGGTGACTACAGTGGAGAACACTGGATTGTATAACTGAAAGTGAGAGAAAAAATGTTTAATGAGCAAAGGACTTGACATTTCTCCAGAGGTGACATACAAATAAATGGCCATCAAGCGTATGAAAAGATGCTCCATGTCACTAATCAATAGCAGGGAGAGATCACCTCGCACCTGTTATGATGACTATCAAAAAACTAGAAACAAGTGTTGGTGAGGAGGCGGGGAAATTAGAACACTTGCGCATTGCTGGTGAGAAGGTAAAGATGGTGCTGCTGCTCTGGAAGACAGTACGGTGGGACCTCAAAACATAAAAATAGAGCTACCCTATGATCCAGTGATCCCACATCTGGGTAGATACCCAAAAGAATGGGAAGTAGGATCTTGAAGAGATATTTGTGTACCATGTTCATAGCAATATTATTCACAATAGTCAAGGGGTGGAAGCAACTGAAGTTGTCCATCAGTGGATGAATGGATACACAAAATATGGTCTATCTGCATAATGGAACATTATTCAGCCTTAAAAAGGAAGGAGATTCTGACACATGCTACAATATACAACCCTGAGGACATTATGCTAAGTGAAATAAGCCAGTCACAAAAAGACAAATACTGTACAATTCTATTTATATGAGGTATCCAGAGTAGTCAAATTCACAGAAACAGAAAGGAGAATGGTGGGGAGCCAGGGACCACAGCCAGGAAAAATGGGGAGTTGTTTAATGGACAGAGAGTTTCAGTTCTGCAAGATAGAAAGCTCTAGAGATTGACTGCACAACAATGTGAATATACTTAACACTAGTCACCTATACACTTAGAAATGGTTAAGATGATAACCATTATATTTTGTGTTTTTTACAGTTACGTTTCTTAAAGGGTGTAATAAAGCCCATAAAAATAAACCATATTAACGTATAAAGAAAAGGATCTAACCTCTTAGGTTTTTGATTTAGAAAACTTTGACTAGGGGTGTTAACTTCTTAGGAAATTTACTTATGCTATGTCTCAGCTGTTAAGGATGTTGAATGAAGTAAGTGCTGTGGCATAGCTAAGTACTTAGCAAGACACAGAAGGTGTCCAATAATTAGTTAAAACGTCTCAATCATCTCAAACGATCTTCAAGCTGTTGAATTTTCAGAAATGCGTAACATTCCCCATTGCTGATGAAAATTTGATGTTTCCCTTATGATTATACGTAAGCACAATTTTTTTTCCCAATCATCCTTTTTCTGGAAGTATAGGAGACACAAATGCAGCCTTTAAAATTACCTTTTGGCAAAAGCACAGATGTTGTCTATTAGTGGACAGTTCTTCAATGCAGCTTCAACTTTCCCAAGGGATACATATTCTCCTGCTTGTAACTTCACCAGATCTTTCTTGCGATCTAGAAGTCATGAAGAACGAATGGTAAGTTATCCGGTCCATTTTATTAAGATCCGCACAATTCCGATTTTCCCTCAATCTCATTGCCTTAATCTTTATTTACACAGATACTTCTTCTAAAATTCTGTTATAGAATAATGCTTGTTCATGCACATCCATTACAAGGAAAACACCTAGCTGAAGAAGTACTAGCTAAAATGCTCAGTATTTTATTATAATCTTAAATACTATGATAAAGTTAATGGAAGGGACAGGGTCTTACAGCATTAGATTTGAATGACAGCTCTGCCCATTACAAGCTACATGATCCTGGGCAGGTCAATTGACCCCACCAACCCTCAATTTTATCAGAGATACTGACACCTACCTCATATAAGCATATAAGACAATGTCTGGCATACAGAACATGTTTAATAAATGTTAATTCCCCATTTTCCTTATTTGACATTACCTTATTAAAATGACAGTGCTCTAAGAAAGAATGTGCTGGCACAGGATGGCACAGCTTGAATAATCATCAGTGGCCTTACAACTCCATATGAATTCTGACTTGCCTACCCATAGCCTGGGAACCCAATCTACATGCTGACAGAAACCCACCTTTGATTCCAGTGCAATTAAGGATCAAGAAAAAAAAAGTAGAGGGGATTGGTTCTAGATTAAATCATGTTTACCGGGGATTTCCCCAGTAGATCAAACTTCAGGATGAAGAACCAATTTTCCCAAGAAATCTTTAACTACATTCAGGTCAGGTACAGGTCCAGAGAGATTTAAATGGACCGCTAGAGATATGACTGAGGAAATTTTATGGCTTAAAAAGGACCTGAATGGGACTCTACAGAGTGGTCCTTCCCAGCTGGCTAGTCAAATTTTTATTTTAGCTTCTGCCTGATTACAGGGAATAACAGAAGGGCTATTTTGGAGCTAAAAGTCTATTTCACTAGGCTTAGTGAGGGCAGTGCCAAACCAACTGACATTCTCAGAAGAACAGATCACTGTTGAGGATTTATGATTTTCTAAGGTTCCAGGATAGCTGGAGCCATATGTATAGATAGCCACTAGGGAAAATAATGTGTCCACACTGCCTCTTGGATAGGAAGGAAAATGGTGAGAATATACTGACCTATAATCTGTAAACATCCATCAGGGTGAAATTCTCCAATATCTCCAGTGCAAAACCACCTTTGGCCATTTTCATCCACAGAGTAATCCTCTGCCGTTTTCTCTTCATTTTTAAAATACCCCATGGAGATATTCTGTCCACCAATTACAATTTCCCCTCTGGGGTTTGGCTTGTCATGAATTGTGTAGCCGCCTGGAAGCCATTAAATTAGTTATTGTTCTAAAACAAAATGTACTTGCATTCATTCTTAACACTCCTGTGTTAATATTTTTCTGCAGATCAAATTTTGTTACTCCTTGGGAGAACATTAGTTTCCATGTATTCACATTGGCCTGAGGATAATGGGTAACTGTAATTTGGGGGGTACTGAGGAAGGCGCAATGATAATAACCAACCACCACCCATCCCAAGCCTTCCCAATGACAAAATTTCACACTTAGAACGCCACTGAAGCTTGGGGTTCATAGAGCTTTGTTAAGAAAAAATTACCCCCAAGAAGGGTAACGCTTGAAGCTGTTTTAAGTAAATTAGTAATATGCTGGTATCAATGCATTTCAGATTTTTTTCTAAGGAGGTTTTAATACAGGGGCGCCTGGGTGGCTCAGTTGGTTAAGCATCTGATTTTGGCTTAGGTCATGATCTCACAGTTTGTGAGTTTGAGCCCTGCATTGGGATCTCTGCTGTCAGCACTGAATCCGTTTTGGATCCCGTCTCCCTCTCTGCCCTTCCCTCTCTTGTGTTCTCTTTCTCTGTAAAATAAAAAAAAAAAAAATAAAACATTAAGGAGGTTTTAATACAAGAGAGCAGGTAGGGAGTGTCTACCAAAGGCAACACCATGAAGTGAGAGGGAAAGAGAAGCTATGGGAAACAGGCAGGAAACTATATTTTCTTAACTTTGGCCTATGGCCAGTCACGACTTTAGACTTTTTAAAAAATTTTTTAATTTATTTTTGAGTGAGAGACCGAGCATGAGCAGGGGAGGGGCACAGAGAGAGGGAGTCACAGAATCTGAAGCAGGCCCCAGGCTCCAAGCTGTCAGCAGAGAGCCCAGTGCAGGGCTTGAACCCACGAACTGCAAGATCATGACCTGAGCCAAAGTCAGATGCTTAACTGACTGAGCTACCCAGGCACCCCACCCAGTCACAACTTTAAAACACTGAAATGACTGACAAGAGCTCTAAAATATTTTACCACTACTCATTACCTATTTATTATTGAATAAAGCTTAATTTAAGGGAAAAATACAAAAATCTGAATTCATAAACTGAGATGTTGATTAGCTTTTATGTTTAATTTTGTAATGTTTATTTATTTTTGAGAGAGAGTGCTAGAGGAGGAGAGGCAGAGAGAGAGGGAGACACAGAATCTGAAGCAGGCTCCAGGCTCTGAGCTGTCAGCACAGCACCCAACGCAGGGCTCGAACTCACGAACTGCAAGATCATGACCTGAGCAGAAGTCGGACGCTTAACTGGCTGAGCCACCCAGGCGCCCCTAGGTTTTAAGTTTTAAAAGGATTCAAGCAGAGTCCTTTCAGCTGTTAGCTGCTCTTAAAAATTTTAAACTATTCAATATTTAAATATGAAATCCATTGCATATAAAATATTAAGATCATTCCTATTATATAAAACAAAGTTTCCCTCATGGCAAGGAAAACTCCAGAGACATATGCAAAAATGGCCCCACTCCCCAAAACTGATGGATGCTGAAGTACAATAACAGAAACTCAGAAAATAAAAATTAGGGGCAAAATTCGCCTTACCAAGTTGTACGATATACCTGCTTTCTCTAATTTCACTGCCTAATAAATAACCCATCTAATGAAACAGTTGTGCTGCTGAGGCTCCACACACCCAGACACATATTGTCTATGATGTCTTCAGATTTTCATCCTAAAATCGGAACAGCATTGCCATGGGAGACAGAAGGAGGACTTAGTCCCAGGATGTAAAGATCTTGGGAATGCAACTGGATTTTAAATGTGGTTTTTAAAAAGAAGTAGTTGTAGGGCACCTGGGTGGCTAGTCAGTTGAGTGTCTGACTTCAGCTCAGGTTACGATCTCATAGTTTGTGGGTTCTAGCCCCACATCAGGCTGTCTGCTCTCAGCACAGAGCTCACTTTGGATCCTGTCTCCCACTCTCTGCCTCTCCCATGCTCACATTCTCTCTCTCTCTCAAAAGTAAAATAAACATTTAAAAATAAAATAAAGTAAAGGGGCGCCCGGGTAGCTCGGTCGGTTAAGCGTCCGACTTCGGCTCAGGTCATGATCTCACGGTCCGTGAGTTCGAGCCCCGCGTCAGGCTCTGTGCTGACCGCTCAGAGCCTGGAGCCTGTTTCAGATTCTGTGTCTCCCTCTCTCTCTCTGCCCCTCCCCTGTTCATGCTCTGTCTCTCTCTGTCTCAAAAATAAATAAATGTTAAAAAAAAATTTTTTTTTAAAAAAAGAAAAAGAAAAGAAAAGAAGTAAAATAAAATAAAATAAAATAAAATAAAATAAAATAAAATAAAATAAAATAAAATAAAATAAAAAGAAATAGTCATTTGCTCTTTGAGCACTGACAATAATGCACACAGGCAGAAAGTCATAGGAGGAGAAACACTTAGGAACTCCAAGTTTATGTCAGATACAGCCGATTCATGGTCTTGGGTTTGAACAACCTAAGAGAATTGTCCTAGAAGGTAACTAACTGGTCCTTTAAATTTTCAGCCTATGGCTCCATTCAACAATGAATATTCCCTTTTAAGATCTTAAGTTTTTAAAAAAATTTTTTTTAAGTTTATTTATTTATTTTGAGAGACAGAGAGAGAAAGAGCACAAGTGGGGGAGGGGCAGAGACAGAGGGAGAGAGCATTCCAAGCAGGCTCCACACTGTCAGCACAGAGCCCCACGTGGGGCTCAAACTCATGAACCGTGAGATCATGAGCTGACCTGAGATCAAGAGTTGGACACTTAACCAACTGAGCCACCCAGGCACCCCTAAATTCTTAAGCTTTTTAATTACTTTTCCTTTATCTGGCAAGGCCAGGCTGTTCATCATTTTGCAATTAATGCAACACATTTAGTAGTTTTCAGTTTTACCAGGAAGACTGGTTTACTTCTGCCTCCAGCTGCTTTATAGAAAGGATTATCACCAATGTCTAAAAAGTGCAGCCCTCCCTTTACAATTAAATATAAAGATAAAATCATACAAATGGCCTGAGAACTGAGTCTCATCTGTGAAAATGTTTGCGGGGGTCAAGAGCTAAGAGGTTGGAGCATGCATGTGTCTTCAGTCAGTCCCTCAATCCCCTAAAAATCTGGGGTTTCATTTCCTGGCCAAATGTCCTCGCTAGCAAAGTCAAGCTTCCAAAGATCGGATATACATCCTTCTCCAGACCTAGGGAATGCCCCACTAAGAATGTTCTTCCTCTTTACCATCAAGTATTCTCAAGTTCAGAATCATCATGCCTAAATTCCAGAGGTTTTTCTTTTCCTCTTGGGACCCTCTTTACTGAGGAAAAGAAAGCACCGGGAACCGGCAACAGCAAAGAGTCCCTTGCTATCACAGACGAGCTAACACTTTAAAGACTGGGTGTCTTGGGGCTCATGGTGGTTTTCAGCGTATCTAGAACCAGTAGAGCTGGTCATAAAACTCTTACCTTCCTGCCAGTCTTTTAGCTTAATTTCACAGCAAATAAGAGGGGCTCCAACTCTGCCCGTAGTATAGTCAGTAACTAGGAGGAAAATGCAACAAATATATTAGCATACCACATTTCAGACTTGTGCCCATGGGAGACCAGGGATATTGGAGTTAGAACCAGAGTCTCACAGATGATAAAAGAGAGGCCACTGTGAGTGCAGCACAACGTGTGACCATGCTTCAGTATTTCAATTCTATTTCAACAGTGCAATCAGTACCAATGTTGTTACATCACTTTCGCTTCTCCCGGGCTCTATTTCAGATAATAAGTACAAAAATCTCTGTGAAAGGAGGAGAGCTGCCCCTACCATTATCTACCTAGGATTCCAGGAGGACAGATTTGGATTGGAATTCCTTTTCTGCCACTCACTGATTGACTGTGTAACTTGGACAAATTACTTAACCCCACTGGGCCTCCATCTCCCCATCTATTAAAGGGGGAGAGTAAGAAAACCTACTTCTTATAGAGATATGCTGTAGGGATTCAATGAGATGATGCGTGGATGGTGCTTAACACTTCTTGGCACAAACTCAGTTTTCAATAAATGTTAACTGCTATTACCAAACAGGATGATGACGATATTCTCCTTTTGTAATTTGTAAGTACTGCTATCAATAATCAAGTATTTATAGATACCCTATAATGTACCTAGCATTATATTAAACACTGAAAGGAGGAAACACGTAAAAGATAAGGAGACTATGCCCTCAATGAGCTTACAAACAAACTACCTGGGACAAAATGCGCATGAAGCAACTCAGAGCACATTTAAATACTCAATTTCATGGTACTGGAAGTGCACACAACGGTACCTCAGGGACTTGAAAGATCAATGTGAAATGAAATCACTGGCAAAGACTTAATTGATGAGTTGGGCATTAAAAGGTGGCTGTGTCCAGTTAGCAAAAAGGGCATTCCAAGACAAGGGAACAGAAAATACAGAGAGGTGAGAGCAAGAATGCCTGTAAGAGAAAGAGAGGGGAGCAGAGCCAGGGTGTGTGTGTGTGTGTGTGTGTGTGTGTGTGTGTGTGTGTAAAATAATGGAAAATAATGATGGATGGGGACAACGGCAACAGATTAAAGATGTCTGGAAGCTAGGTCCACCAGGGCTGAAGCAGTGTTTGAGGTGGAGATGCCCAACAGAAATATACAGGATCAATCACAAGTGATACAATAGAGGCAGGAATGGCCGCCAAAAGGCTGTTACCTCAGAGGAGTGTGAGGCAATAAGAGGCCAGGTATGAAAGGTGGCATGCAGGGGAGGGAGCAGTCCAATGAACAAATGGGAAGATCCAATTGAAGTTAAAGTTTTAAAAAATAAACAATTAGAGGACTTCAAAGCTAATGCTGTGAATGGTTTTAAGGATGGTAATACCACAGTCACCAACCATCTGCCAGGTGGACAGAGGTCTGGGATGATGGCGTTGATTTTGGGCACATGAATATAAAGTGAAAGTGGGATGATCCAAAAAGTATTACCTACCCCAGTGTTTCCCAACCCAAGATGATTTCACCCCTCAGGGGGTATTTGGTAATGTTTTGATTTATGTTCCATTGCCACAGCTGGGAGGAGTGAGTTACTCCTGATACCTACCTGGCTGATAAACATCCTATAATGCACAAGAGAGCCCCACCAATAAAGAATTATCTGGTTTGAAATTTCCATAGTGCCAAAGTTGACACGGCTATCGGGTTTTGAAAAGAACAGAAAACAAACAAGAAGTCAGGGCAGGAATATACATTCAAGAGGGAGCATAAAAATGATACTTTCTTCCAAGAGTGCAGTTCTCCGAGGAAACAAGCATTTAGACAGAAGAGACTAAAGGACCAGGGTGACAGAATTTTGAGGACTGACAAGATGGCATAAATACAGACAAGGCTTAAACATAAAGGGCACACGTGATAGTTCAACTGGAAGTTTCTAGAACTAAACCTGTTCAGGATTACACTGAATCTGTTATTACTTAAGGGGTATAAACATTAGTGACAACAAACAGAATTATTTGCCATGTTACCAGTACTTACCTTCAGTAACTGTGCCGGCACCACATGATTCTGTCAGTCCGTAACCCTGACCCACAGGGCAGCAGAAGCAGACATTCATAAATCGGTGTGTCTGAGGAGACAGCGGGGCTCCACCAGACAGCATCATGCGGACATTCCCTCCCAGCAAAGCCTTCACCTTTTTAAACAGTAACCTTGAGAAAAGCACAAGGGGCAATAATTTGAATACATGCATACATTATGCTTGGTCACATCCTAATGTATAAGCTCTGGGAACTATTTCTTGACTTTGGTTGGACACCTACATTTCAGAACCATGGTGGTAATTAATGAGAGGTTCACAAAGCAATGACTAATAACACCTTGAAAAAAAAAATGCCAGAAAATGACAGATGGTAGCTATACTTGTAGCGAGCACAGCATAATGTACAGAGTGGTCAGATCACTATGTTGTCCACCTGAAACTAAGGGAACACTGTACGTCAGCTATACTCCCATTTTTAAAATGCCAGAAAGACTCTTAAAAATTAAAAAAAAAAAAAAAGAGGCAGTGTTGGGAAACTGCTCTCACATACAGCAAATGAAAGAAAATGATGATGTCAAAGGAAACAAAAATTACAATTGTCTTTAGAACATTTAGTTATTGATCTTATCTCCCTTTTAATGAAAAATGTTTCCCTATCTCCACCCTCCAGCATAACATTTAAAATAGCTGTTATGCTCAGGGTGCCTGGATGGCTCGGTCGGTTGAGTGTCCAAGTTCTGCTCAGGTCATGATCTCATGGTTTGTGGGTTCGAGCCCCGCATTGGGCTCTGTGCTGACAGCTCGGAGCCTAGAGCCTGCTTTGGATTCTGTGTCTCTCTTGCTCTCTGACCCTCCCCCACTCGTGCTATGTCTCTCTCTCTCTCTCTCTCAAAAATAAAATAAACATTAAAAAAAATTAAAAATAAGGGGCACCTGGGTGGCTCAGTCAGTTAAGTGTCGGACTCTCAATTTTGGCTCAGGTCATGATCTCACAGTGTGTATGGGTTCAAGCCTCTCACTGGGCTGTGTGCTGAGAGCTCAGAGCCTGAAGCCTGCTGCGGATCCTGTCTCCCTCTCTATGCCCCTCCCCTGCTCTCTCTCTCTTTCTCTCTCTCCCTCTCTCTCTCAAAAACAAACACTAACCAAAATAGCTGTTATGTTCATATATTTATTACACTGTTTTATGAATACAATAAATCAGAAACCTTCCTGCAGATTAAAATCTTGAGTATCACCTTTTGTCAGAACTGACCCTTTGTAAACTCACACATTTTGATTCCAAAGTCTAATCTAGTTTTTCTTCATAAGACCAATTTCTGCAATAAAGTCTTAAACATTTACTCAATTATTAAAATCTGTTCAACTGCCAAGATCAGAGCTCAGAGTCCTCTGTCTATGTTTGCTATGGAAGCAATGAGGGTTAGAAGTGAATAAAAGGGAAATGCAACCTTATGATGATGGTGGTGATGCCCAAAGTAAATTAGCTTGCCATTTACTTCTTCATCTTCCAGATGTAAACACACGATATCTCCAGGCTCACACTACAGAGTCTATGAAATGTACTTACATATTGCAAAGTGGTGCATCGTATCCCTTTTTGATCTGTTCCAACTTGTAATCATACCCTATCTTGAACAGTGTTTTCTGAATATAATTCATCTCTTGGACTTTGCTCATAACATTCTTATAAATTCTGTCCATGATTTCCTAAAAGGCAAGCAAAATATTCAATAATCTGAAAAGAATTACACCAACACGGAGATGGTCTTTAGGTGAAGATACCTTGTTTCTGACCTCTTAGGTCAAAGTTTTTAGTATAATGGATATATTTACTTTATTATATAATTAATTTCACTGACTTTACTTGTTCACGATTTCAAAAAGACTAGGGACACGTAGAGGGATTTTCTGGTTCTATACACTAAGTTTATCTAAAAATTTTTAAAAATGTCTACTAGAGTGTAAATAATTCATTCACCTCCCACATAAGTATCATTTTTAATTCTTTTTTCAAATATATTCACTTATTTTCCAATAGCACCGAAAAACACCCAACTATGTTGAATCTAATTCTGATGTTTTTCTCACTACTACCTTGTGACTCTTACAGCATGGCAGAGAGATTTACAGAGTTTCTAAGAGTTGTCTTACAGAATTTTCTAGAGTTCCTTAAAATTCTTATGTCCCTGTAATTTAGGCATTTCTACTCCCTTTCAGTAGAAGCTAAGATTACAAAAACGAACAGGATTCTTGCTCATGGCTCCTTGGAAAATTCAAGGAGGACTAGGTTCGAGATACAGTGACTCCCAAGGTAATACACAAAACAACAACAAAGAACCCCGAAACAAACCAGCAAAAAAGCCCAGACTATCACTAAATGATGTTTTCTTGAAATGAGTAAGCACAAATTAATAAGAATTATTGCATAAAGCACATCTATTTATAAACACCTAGTTTTAAATAGTTAAAGTGGCAATTAGTGGAAATTCAGTTGTGCTACCATGAATAGTTTTATGAATGGCTCTTTCGATATCATAACAGAGCCATTCACAAATAAGGACAGCAAAAACATCTCTTGCCTTATGCTATGGGAAAGTAGTCAGAAAGAAAAAGACAAATACTATATGGTCTCACTTCTATGTGGACTCTAAACCGGCCAACCTCAGCAACCGAGAGTAGACTGGTGGCTGCCCGAAGCTAGCAGGTGGGGCAAATAGGGAGATGTTGGTCCAAGGATACAAACTTACAGGCAGAAGAAGATGAGCAAGTCCTGGGGATGTAATGTACAGCACAGCACAGAGAGTATAGTTAACAAGACTGTATTATATGCTCGAAAGTTGCTAAAAGAGTAGATCTTAAATGTTCTCATCACACACATACACATGGTAACTTTGTGAGACGATGGGTGCGTTAACATTATTATAGTAATCTTTTCACAATACATACATATGTCAAATCACTGTACACTGTATACCTTAATTGACACGATGGTATGTGTCAATTATATCCCAATAAAGCTCATGGGGGTGGAGGGAGGCTGCAACAGCATTCAAGGATGGCACAATGTTGTCCTGTCCATTTCCACAGATGGAATCATTGTGTTAACTGACATATTTGTCTAGATCTGTGATTGAGAAATTCCAAAAGTTCCCTACAGGACTTTAATATCCTGTAACTATCCCACTTAAGAAAGTGAATAGGATGTCAGGTGGAGGAAAAAAGCCTACAGGAGTGAGACAGATGTGACAGAACTACCTCCACTGCTCTTTCCAGTAGATAAGAGTCATGGGCACTGGAAGGCCTCTATGAGTAAGGAACACAAATGATAGTCGTAACAAATTGGCAGGATTTATTATTAGCACAAGAAGTCACCCTTCACTTCAACCTAATGTTACATGATGTTCAACTGAGTCAGTGCTTACAAGAAGCAGTGATGTATTCTAAATTCTCAGCCTGTGAATACGTGACTGTACAATACTAAATGGATCTTTCATTCTGATCCAGGAAAGAAACAAACTCAGATAATAGAATCTATTGATTTTCAGTAAAAAAGATTTTTTTAAGGCCTATTTATACAGGAGGGGGAGGAGTTAAGGGAACCAACAAAGTTCAGTGAAACACCCATGGACCAGCAACATGAGAGTCTGTTTACTATCCTCAGGCCTAAAGAACCAAGAGGAGAGATGTATTATTGGAACCTGGTGAAGACTATAGCCACGGGCAAGATCTGGTTACAGCCAATGGGAAAGAGATTGTTCCATGGACGCTTGACAACTGCCCCAAATCGCAGCCCAACAGGGAAGGAGCAAAGGCAGTAAATATGCAGAACCCCTCCTCTCTCCCTGCCCTGTGATCTCTCCTGAGCGCCAGTAATTGGCTGAACCCAACAAAAGACAAGCAAGCCCTGGTGATTCATCCACAGAAGTTAGCCTTCCAAGGCACAAAGTAAAGAAGAATGGACCATGGGCAATTAGAAGATACACAGCATATCCACAAATTCCTGCTTATCCTTCAGGCCTAAATTCAGACATTGCTTCCTACAGTCCTTGGTCTTTTCCCTTCCCTATGTTCTCTGATAGGGTTTACTAGGGACTCCTGTACTTTGAGTAATAAACCCAAAATATTTCCCAAAACACCAAACACAATCACAATCCTAAACAGACAGGCATAGTAGTTAAGAAAAGTCTGGTATCAGACTGGTAGAGTTCGGGCTCTGTGACTTCGGGAAAACTTTTTTTTTTTCTTTATAAAACCAGAAAAATAGGATCCACCTAGGAGAGTCTTAGGAAGGATTAAGTGAGATAATCCATCTAAAGCCCTTAGGGACAGGTCCTGAAAACAGCAAGTACTGTAGTACCTATCATTAGCATCACTTTATTATGTTTTAATCAGAAGCTTCTTTCAGTTTCCAAACTTGCCGAATTCTTCAGCACCTCTAAATAAAAAGGCAAAGGCTACTCTGCCCTCTTTTAATTCTTTCGTTATTTAATAATTTTGTAATAAGAAGCTTAAAAAACAAAGTGGCTGAACACTTCATTATCTCATCTCCAATTTTCCATGTACAAAAATAATTCTGAGAGAGATACTGGGATAAGACTTAAAATCTGATCGCAATACAAGCAGTCACAGTATACAGTCCCGCTGGAGTTTCCAAGCCTAAAAGTGCTAGAACATATCTGATTATGCACATTTGAAACACTGTGTGAAATGCTTATCATTACAAGGCCAAAAACGCTGTAACATCTTATTTTGATGAAAGGCAGTATTTCACATAAGGATTTTAAACGTCTGGAACTAAGCTTTTTTCTTTGGAAAATCTCTCAAGTGCCAGTTTTCCTAGTCACGATTAGGGTCAGGAGGCTTGGATTTGAGGCTCAGTTCCATAACTTTGGATATGCTGCTTCAGTTCTCTGGGATGACCTACGCTTCCTCATTTGTTTGAAATTTGTGATTAGGGGCGCCTACATGGCTCAGTCAGTTAAGCATCCAACTTAGGCCCAGATCATGATCTCGCAGTCCATGAGTTCAAGCCCTGCATCAGGGTCCACGCTGTCAGTGTGGAGCCTGCTTGCGATTCTCTCTCTCCCCGCTCTGCCCTTCCTCCGCTCATGTGCGCATCGCGTGTGCACATTCTGTCTGTCTCTCTCAAAATAAACTTTTATCAACGTTTTATTTTTATTTTTGGGACAGAGAGAGACAGAGCATGAACGGGGGAGGGGCAGAGAGAGAGGGAGACACAGAATCGGAAACAGGCTCCAGGCTCTGAGCCATCAGCCCAGAGCCTGACGCAGGGCTCGAACTCCCGGACCGCGAGAACGTGACCTGGCTGAAGTCGGATGCTTAACCGACTGTGCCACCCAGGCGCCCCTCAAAATAAACTTTTAAAAAGTCCAAAATAAAAATAAAATACAATTTGTGATTAAACAAAAATGAGATCTAGAATATCTTCTACCCTTGAAATATTATGGCCACTTCTCACGCTAGGTAATCTGAACTAGGTCATGTTCATCACTAATTTTCCAGGATCAGCAACACTAACAGGCATACATGTCAGAAGTTTGCCAATGCTGATCTCAGATTTAAATGAACACACTTGCCACGATCTCAATTGAGTGAAGTTGTTTAAAACTGTATGCAAAACCCTGAGAGCATTACCTTTTAAAAAGTCCAAGTGCAAGCAATAAAGGACATTTATATTCTGTACTCACCGGAACGGCCGCCATGAGTGTCGGCTTCAGCACAGTACAGTCTCCTTTGCTTCCCTTTTTAATTTTGCTGGACTACACGAAAGAAAAAGCAAATAGGATCAGGAGAGCCAGCCTCAGCAAAAAAAGTGTGATAATTCAAGTACTGACAGTGACAGAAATTTACACAATGGAATCTGATCTTCTATGGCCCCGTTGAGTTATTGGTTACAACTCTCATAACTTGCAAACGTCTAAAGTGGAAGTGGCTTTGGTGCTTTAGCCTGGAGATGATTTCTTCTAGTACATTTCGGCTTTCCTTAGAGGAGAAGCTCTGACTCATAATATAGGAGAGTGGGATATTTGGGTAAAGTGCGCATTCTTGTCTCTCACGTATCAAGCACAGCACAGATCATCCATTAAAAAAGAGAGAGAGAATAGAAAACCTCAGCTAAGGTACAGTGAACACTAAAAGAAAATGGAAAATATTTTAACTTTCTTTGATTAGCCAAATGGCAAAGCCACCTCTTGAAGTCACTGCCGTTGATGAACATGATGGAAAAACACTAATTTGGTAACATTGTGGTTGACAGAATAATGAAGACCCTGCCAGTGACCATGTGGGGATATGCACATATATATCTAAGTATGTATATATTTCTCCTTTCTTTTGTTTTCTTTCATTGCTTACACACATAAATACTATTTGGGATTTCAAATATCAGAGCAACAGGGAGAAAAACTGATAAAGCAGCCCACTGAAAAAGGGAGATGAAAGGAAGAAAGAACCAGCTATAATGCATTTCATTAGTCTGTAAGTTTAGATGTATGATGTGTCTATTAGTCACGCTGACACAGGCGGGAAGTAAACCAGCTCTTAAGGGACACTGTGATATGCCAGGACCACCGGCTTCGTCATAGAGAACTTTCTGCCAATAGAACCAAATTGCTTTTATCCTACTTTTCTTTAAGATGGATAAAGGAAATAAAATAACTGCTTGTTGTTTCATGTATGTGCGAGTGTGTGCACATTTGCAAGTGGAAACCGACGCCCACACGTGCATATGACACATGGGAGGGCAGCTCTGTAGAGAGAAAGATGGGCTCTCATGTCCTGCAAGTCCAAGCTGCCCTCCATGTAGTGCTGACCAGTTGTCGCTTTAAAGAGCTGTTCCAGGGTAGCACTAACCACAAGGAGCCCTTCTTCACTTTCTTTATGACTCTATGTAATGGTATCAGTTCTCTTCTTATGATCGCAATAATCTCAGGACAGCATCACGCTTATCTGTTGGCTTCAAATGTGGCACCTCTAATGTCCCACCTGTTTCTGATTTCCTATCTGATTTCCTATCCTGGGTTTTTGATTCCTAGAAATATTGAGACTTTTTATTAGGAAGTTCGTGAAAAAGACAGGTGGGGCATTCACTCCAACTGCCCCCCCCTTCCCTACACTGAGGCTATTATTTCCAGAAAGGCAGTGAAAGCTAGGGTTGCTAGTCCCTGACTTCTGAACTTCCCTAAGGTGGGGGGGGGAATCATACTCAAAGTTTACTGAAAGGTGTTTCACATTTTGAAACATTTCTAAATACAAGAAAAGCCCACTACAGTGCATCAAAAACATAATCGTTGTGGATTTTTTTTCTTTTAACATTACAGAGTTTTCTAAAAATTTTTTTTTACAGTTCAAGCCCCAGTCTTATTCATAGATCAATTTTAACTTGACTATATCAAGTCTCGTTTATTACTTTACTTGATCACTTCTTTTCTCCATTACTGTTCTAGCAGATTTTAAATGTGAACTTTCAGCTGAGTAGTTCATACGGCAGCACTCCATCTTACAAAGAGGTTGTGTTCCCTAAAGTACCAAGTAGGTAGTTGTCTAGAACACAGAACATTTTTCTCATGATAAAGCCGCTTCAAGAGGTGGTTGGATTATCCTGGGAAGTTGCAGGGAGGTGGTCATCATTCAGAAAGGACACAAGGACGTTATGGAGTTCCAGGAATGTTCTTTTTTATCTTGATCTAGATATGGATGGTGACAGGGGTCTATGTGTGTATATTAAATGCAATCAAGCAGTGTACTTAAGATTCATGTCCTTTAAGTTATGCATCCAAAAACAATTTTTTTTAAAAGATGGCTGGAATCTCAAATCCAAAGACATCCATTTAACTTTTCTGCCTTAATATCACACAACCTACCTAACCTCTCCCTAAAACCAAGTCATTCCTATCTATACTCAGAAACTCTTTTTTGCCTCAACATCTGGTTGACATTTTTCTATAGCAACAGGTCCAAAGAAGAAATTAAACAACTGTGGACAGTAGGTATTAGCTGTGTTATTTCAAATGCACGTAAAATCCGTGAGTTAGCTCTAGCCATTGTTGGGCTTCCTACTGTGAACAAAGGAGAAGGGAGAACCCAGTTGGACTCCAGGCGCAAAGCTGAGGGCTGCCTTTGGATATGCAATAGAACTTTCCATGATGATGGAAAGGTCTGGTACCTGTGCTGTCCAAAGTGGTACCCACTAGTGACACTTAGCTGCTGAGAACTTGAAATGTGGCTGGAGGGGAGGGGGACAAAACATAAGAGACTCTTAAATACAGAGAACAAAGTGAGGGTTGCTGGAGGGGTTGTGGGTGGGGAGATGGGCTAAATGGGTAAGGGGCATTAAGGACGATACTCATTGGGATGAGCCTTGGTTGTTATACATAGGGGATGAATCACTGGAATCTACTCCTGAAATCATTATTGCACTATATGCTAACTAACTTGGATGTAAATTCAAAAATTAAAAAAAAAATTAGAAAACAAAAAGAAATGTGGCTGGAGCAACTGAGAAATGAGATTTTTCTCATATCATTGGAATTATCTCTACTTCAGCGTGCTGTTGTGGACAGCACAGTGTTAGAGAAAACTGAGAGCAAAACTGGGCCACGATCCTACCACCATATCTCCTCCCAGAAAACCTATCCCTGTTTATGGGTAATGTATCCAAAAGACTCGGTGCATTTATCTTCTCTACCCAAGCTATCCAGAGTCAAAATCTCATAAAACAAAATGAAAGTAACTGTAAGCTTCAAAATCATGTAAGAAGATGTAGATGAAGCAACACTAACAAATCCATAACTCTTTTTTACAGCTACATATTTGCCCACAGGGGCTATTTTTGAAGTCGAGGAGAAAGCTGCCAGTGAACTGAAGTGTCTCACATTCGCAGTAATACGTTCTCATCCAAACAGCGCAACTTAATAGGATGGCGCGGAAAGAGTAAAAGGCTTGTCACCTGGTCAGAGAGTGTAAGTGGAGAAGAATAGCCAATCCTACAGCCGTAGGTAAAGCAGGATATCTCTGCTGTCAGTTCTAGCACATGAGCCAAAGGCAAGTAGCCAATGTAAGTGTCCTTTGGTCTAAAATGAAATAAGAGAAACATGTCAGCCGTCAGGAATAAGGCATGGTTAAGTAGAAACATCAATAGCCTTCTCGTTTCTACACAGATGGAGTTTAGACGATGTCGAACAGGAGCTCTCATCACAAAGAAGAACATGGAATGAGTCTCTCTTACCCCAGCCCAGGAATCCTCTCACACTGGCCTGTCATTCCAGCTATCAAATTGCTATGGTGCATCATCACTCCCTTGGGCCGGCCGGTAGAACCACTGGTATACATGACAATAGCCATGTCCGAAGGAGTTGGTCTGTTTGGAGGCACGCTCGCTAAAAGAATGAAAAAGCACTGCGTTTTCTTCAGTTTAGAAGTTCAATTGCTTACACAAAGATTAAGAGTTTTTAGGTATTTTTTGCATAATGATGAACCATGTAAAACAAATGCTCTCTAGTGACAACCGACACAAAAAAAATGGTGATCGAATTTCTGGTTACCTGCAGTGAGAGTCTTGAACGCCACTGTGGCCCTTTTTCTGGGTGTTGAGCCCAATCCCGGTCTACCCCTGCCTGGCCGAGGTGCTGCACACACAGCAGTGCTGTGGAAAGCTAGCCAGGACTTTGGAGAATCAGGGAGATAGACTATCGTGTGCAAGCCCTTCAGGCCTCAGTTTGCTCACCTTTAAAATGAGATGGCTGGGCCTGATTATGGTTCTCAACCACTGGGGGGCATGAGAATTACCTGCAGAACTTAAACAAAATACAGTCTCTGTCTCTGGCCCCCACCTCTGAGCATTCCGGGTCTGGGATGGATCAAAGGCTCCACAGGTAACACTCATACACACCCCTGATTGAAAGCCACTGGACTTGGTATTTTTCTCACTTTTTATAAAAATAATTTCATTTAATAATAACTGAACCATGGACACTGAATTAGATAACCATTATACATTTAACAGATTATTTTAAGATTACGTTCCAAGCAGCACATATAATTCAAAGAACACCAAACCAAAATGATATTTTCTACTGTTTTTAGTGTTGCTTCTTGAAATCTGTATAGGAAATCAGTTTTTCAAAGTACTGAAAGTGTGCCTAGATAAAAATAACACCAAGAGGTCCTTTCTCTCTTCTCTCTCTCTGTGACTTACTCGCTCACTCACTCCTGTAGTTACAACCCATGTTATGTGTCTGGCTTCGGGACTCTTTTGGGTCTTCCAGATTTAGTGCTTATTGCCCTATCTGGATTGGACCATACTTTGATTCTGTCTAATCAAAATGAGACAGGAACTTTATGATACTGAGAGAGATCGTGTGGAGAGGTTTATAAACACTTCATTCCCTATCAATGGTAATATCTAAATAGTATGTAAATTTCACTTCTCCTAGCCCTCTGTCTGAACTTAGGAATATTATTGTTGTTGCTATCGTAATTTATTGTATTTTCGAAAGAGAGAGAGTGTGTTTCCATGAGTTGGGGTGAGGGGAAAAGGGAGAGAGAGAGAACCTTAAGCAGGCTCCATGCTCAGCGTGGAGCCTGACACAGGGCTCGATCCCACGACCATGGGATCATGACCTGAGCCAAAATCAAGAGTCGATGTTCAAGTGACTGAGCCACCCAGGTGTCCCTGAAGGTACAAATGTTGCATCACCTTAAAGGTCCTGAGCTCCAGTGCTATCTTTGCTTTTCCTGAATGACTGGGGGAGGAAAACAGAGAGGTGTTCCTAACAGATTATATTCAGCCATCTTGAGCAGGGGTCGGCAGACTCCTTTTCAGAAAGGACCAGATGGTAAATATTTTAGGCTCTGAGGGCCATACAGCCTCTGCCAAAGGTATCCAGCCATAGACACTTGTTAAATAGTTGTCATGGTATTCTAGTCCAACTTTATTTACAGAAACAGACAGCAGGCTGTAATTTGCCAACCAATGCACTAGAGTCGTGTTTCTCAAACTATGTGTTGTGAGGACCTTGTCCCCTCTAATGATTTATGGATGGATGCTTTTGTAAAATACAATAAAAAGGGATTATTGGAAAAATGAAATGAACATAACACACAAACTTAAAATTTTTGCATTAGGGGTGCCTGGGGGGCTCAGTCCGTTGAGTGTCTGACTCTTCATTTCAGCTCAGGTCATGATCTAGCGTTTCGTTGAGTTCAAGGCCCACATCGGGCTCTGCGCTGAGGGTGGAGCCTACTTGGATTCTTGCTCTCTCCCATCCTCTCTGCCCCTGACCCACATGCACACACTCTCTCTCACACACAAAGTAAACAAACATTCAATCATATATGGTCTTGATAAAAATTTTAAAACTTTTTTTTTAAATCCAAGAAGTGTACAGTTTCCACTTGCATTACTTTCTTTCCTGACCTACTGACAACAAACCTTAAACAGATGAATAAATTTGTTTTACCGGCTTTACTTACCGTTTTCTGGCTTGGATCCCAACTCTTCTACTGATTGCATGCTGTGAATCTCAAACCCTTCAGGGTATTCTGCTTTATTGATAGTCTTATTGTCCACATAAATTATATGTTTGACACGGTTGATATCTAACAGTGCAGTCTGTTGAACAGAAACAAGATCCAGCTATTAAATACGGGCCCACGGTAAACTCAGTTATTGGACATTTTCATGACCTGTCAGATAACACCATATTAATTAAGAGAAATGTTTTTATTTACCTTAAGTTTACTTTCCAGAAGTTCAACGCTAGTGATCAGGTAGGTGGCCTCGGATTCATTTAAGCCATGAACTACAGCTTCTTTGCCAAGCGTGGCATATAAAGTCACAACTACATAATAAAAAAAAATACAAATGTAAACTAATTAAACAGTTAGGAGCTACATTATTTAAGTCAGCCTTTTGTGATAGGAACATTCATGGATGCACACGTCTTATAATGTAATTTCATTTCACAGTCTCTGCCAATATCTTTCAACACTGCCTCAAACTTCGAGGTAGCCCCAACTTTTCCTTATAAATTCACAGGATTCTAACATCCTAAACCTGAAGAAACCCAGAAATACTGGAAGTGCCACAAATGTTCAAAAATTAGGCAATCATGATTCTCGAGGTGAGTAAGTTTCTGCCTGAACTGCTAATTCCGGTCAGAGCTAGCCTACCTAGGACTACCCTGTGACACGCAGGTTCACTGGCCATGGCACCAAACAGTGGGTAAGTCCTTGAGAATCTTCAGACTGAGGATCTCAAGTCTGAATCATGTTCTCACTCCTCCTAGGGAGTTTTTTAAGTGGGCCCAACGTCCACGCTGATTAGTGACCTCTAAGCCTTAACTGGGTGGCCAAGGAGATCTAGTCTTTAGGAGCTACCAGAGAAAGGAAACATGGGCTGAAACCAGGACCAGTTAGTATCAAAGGACATCTGCTAAACCTAGATCCGATTGGATATTCAGCTCTAGGCTCGTAACCAAAACAGCAACGTGGGTAAGAAGAGCCACTTTTCACAAGGTATTGTTTATTAAAGTTGGATGATGGGTACAAAGGGGATCATTTCATATTCATTTTTGTTTGCCTGAAATTCAAACTCCTGATTCCTACACTACACCTGTAGTGTTCTACCTCATTCAGTAAATAACTTAGTGCCTAGCACACGACAGGCACTATTCTGGACTTAGAATTTTTTTAAACCATTTCATGCACCATTGCAAAAACAAATGTTTGTGAAGCAGGAAGACACCCAGCTTTACTTTCTGGCCAACATATCTAGCGTGCTCATTTCACACGTAAAACAGAATGAGTCAAATGAGATGCCCTGGACATGAAGCAACAAATTAGAATTATCCTAAGCAATGGTATTTTTGTTTTTAATCATTATTTTGTGTGTCACTTCCTAAAAAACACCCCCAGGTCCCAAATATTTCAGGTACAATTCACTTCCAATTGAAAAGCAAAATCCTAAATTCTATCCATTCAGCTGCCAACTAATTCCCATGCTAGCTCTTAGAAATTAATAGGCATTATCAGATATCTTTTAAATACATTACATACTGCTTTATGGATACAATGGATGCAGAAAAATTGCTAAAGAACACCTACCTTGAAAACAATAAGGTTGCAGGACAATTTCACATGTTACTAAAACCCTTTCTGTCCCCCTTCAAAAACACAAGGCACTTACGAGGGAAGTTGTACTTAAAGCAGGTCTGTGCCGCAATCATCCATTCGGCCCTGGTCTCACAGAAAATGGCAATAGTGTTCTTTGGTTTTAGTCCCAATGCAGTGAGTCCACTACCAAAATTATTCACTCTGCGGTTCACTTCTAGATAGCTCATCCACTTATAAGTCCCAAGAATTAACTGTTAAGGAGAGACATTCTCTGAATATTAGTACATTCAAGCAAGCAATTAAAATACCATTCAAAGTGTAGCGCTCTAAAATTGCCTTTAAGTGAATATACAGAAGCCATGAGCACCTTCTGAGAATTTGTTATGCAGCATATTTAAATGGAATGGCAGCATATTTAATGTGCATTTGATTTATGATAAAGTAAAAACATACCTTCCCCTTAAAACAAATTAAAAAGCACAGAAATGCTATACCTTCTTAAAAACCTTTCCATTTGGCTGCATTTCATTTTCTTCACTTAGGATCTCTCTGGTCCCAAGGCTGTCCTTCTTCCCAAACTTGGACACAGCATGATCAAATAACTTATCCAGAGTGTCTGCTCCAGGGATGTCTATGACAGCTAGCGAGTCGAAGTGCGTGACAGAGCGATATGGACTTCCAGGTTTGTCTGAAGTGGGCTTAGCTTTTATTCTCTTTGCCATAGCGTTTTTCTTCTTCGCATTGGTAAGAAAATACCATGGAATAAATATAAGGGCACTGTATATTGTTATTAACAAGTGGACAGGCAGCAAAATAATGGTGAGCACGTTTAGCCTAAGTTTCATAGTGGCAAGGCTTCTACAATGGTGTTTATTTCTTGTTATTCTTTGGCTGCAGAAAGCCTTATTTTGCTGAAGAAGGCAATAATGGAAGCAGCAGTAAGAGGAGTATAGCCAAGGCAGTTCAATTTTAATGATACAGATAAAAGTTAGTAATCTTTGGAAGCCGACAATAAAGTACACCTGTAGGTGAAGACAATGAACCAGGCAGAGAGCAGGAAAAAAAAAAAACAAAACAAAACAAAACAAAAGAGTATTAACAAGTTGATAGCAACATTGATTTAAATACTCAGGTCTTCAGTAGTTTATATAATTGATTTGATACAACAAGTTGAAATAACTGGTCTGAAAGACTGGCGTTTTCCATTTTAATCATTATTACCATAAACTTCTCAATTTATTTATTTTTTTGGTTTTTAGGTATATTCTGCCCATCACTCTGCAAGTCACTTGAGTGACACTACTTTAATGCGTACACGAATGCACGGATGTGATATTTCAGCTTGGCTAAACTTCGGGAATGCCAATGATGAGGTTTCTCTTAAGTATGCCCATGTGAACCAGGTAGTTTTAAATAGGAATGGCTTTTGTAGCCCAAAGGGGAGAAATCCACCAGTTTAAGGCTTACTTCTCCATGCTCAACCCAGAGATACTATTCTGAGTTCCTCATCAAGGTAAACTTCTGCGGTAATGCTATGCATTATCTCCAGTCCCCCAAAGTGGAACAATACAATCATAAAGTCATTTCCTAAGTGTCCATTTTGTGCTCAAAATTGCACCCGTGGCCTGGGAGGAGGAGGAGTCAGAAAGAGGTCCGAAGCAGTGTAAGTCCCAGCCTTCGCTCATTACCAGTTACCGCTAATGAGGCCATCTGCACACAAGACAGAGCCAGTGTTTTTCAAACGTTTTGGAGGGAGAGGGGCGGCGAAACAAACCACTCCTGCCAACGTCCCACACATGCAAGCAAAGTGGAACTGCTCTGGCTGAACCCAGGGGTGAAGCGTGCCAAGTCCCACCCCGGACATCCTGGAAGCGTGCTCCCAAAGTGCCCACCGAAGCATTTCCAGTGAAAAGCCTGCTGGAAACACCTAAGTGCTGTTGCATGCGGTACAAACAATGTGACAGACATCGTGAGGAAGTGCAAAACGGCCAGCAGTAACTAAGGGGAGCTCTGTGAAGAGTAGACTTTTAAAGTGGACCTGATGTTGGGGATCTGGAAAATTAAGGAGAAAGAATGGGGAGCATTCCGGGCAGGGAAACCACATGGCAAGATGCAGAGGTAGGAGTGAAAGAGCTTTGGGAGAGTGGGAGTGCCCATAAGGACACTAGACTGACTGGGGCATAGAGCGAGTACATGTTGGCTAAATAGGCTACGGGTAGTGCAGGATCTGACAAATCAGACCAAGTAATTTTGATCTGATTGAATCAGACAGAAAACTGGGGGCCTCTGCAGGTCAGAAAGAGAGTGCCAATTGGAAAGGAATGGCAGAACCGGCCTCAGGGATGATTATAACTCACAGGGAGCTTGCCTTCAGCTGAGAAAGCTATTTTGGTGAGTGGAAGAGTATTTCAGCGATAAAAATTAAAATAATAGTTCGCTTTGGGACACCTGGGTGGCTCAGTCGGTTAAGCATCTGACTTTGGCTCAGGTCACGTTCTCACAGCTTGTGGGTTTGAGCCTGTGTCGGGCTCTGTGCTGATAGCTAAGAGCCTGGAGCCTGATTCGGATTCTGTGTCTACCTCTCTCTCTGCCCCTCCCTCGCTCATGCTCTTTCTATCTCTGTCAAAAATAAATAAAAATTAAAAAAAATTTAAATAATAGTTCACTTTGAGGAGACAAATTGAATGAAGCCCGTCCTTCTGCAACTCTGGTGGAACCTATTGAACCCAGGACAGTTGTTTGTTTTAACACCAATTACCATGAAGTGGTTACCTAAATCCTGCCTCCACTTTAGTTCATGCCCTGCAACCTAGTGGGGCAAGATGAGCAAGAAACTACAGGAACAAAGACCTGGGTTTCAGTCCCTATCTCTGTCACTAAGTGGCTGTGGAAGCTTGAGCCAAACAAGCTATCTGAGCTTAAAATCAAACTAGATCGGTAGCCCTTAACTTCTTAGAGGTGATGGACCCTTTTGAGAATCCAACTGCGACCTATAAACCCAAGATACGCAAAAGGGTCTATGTGATTTTAGGGGGTTTGTGAGTTCCCTAAAATCCATCCATAAACCCCAAAGGGTGACACCAACTCTGAACTAAGAACTGCTGGCTTCTATGATTTCCTGGGGTCCTTCCGACTTTAAATTTTGGGATTTACCCTACCTAGAAATTGCTGCCTTGGTCTGACAAGTCGGGTCATTCATCTCTTCAAAACTAGGTATGTCAAGTGTCCATCATGGTGTCTGGTCCTCAATATGCAAGATCCCCTCTAACAATCCTCCATCATTCATTTCACAATGACTCAAATCCACAATAATCTTTCCTTTTTCTAACTTCCTACATCACTTGAAATGTCTACCACTCATTTCAATCCTTGATTATAGTACGGATATTCTAAACATCTAAGCCCCTAAGTCCACAGCAAGGACCAGTAGTTCTCAACCTGATCAAACCCAACACCTTTTTCTTAGAACAAATATTCTGTAATACTCTCTTATCAATCTTGAAAGGTAGTCATAGATGATAACCCACTTACATACATAATTTTAAAAAATAATTCCTTACTGGTAATAGAAAGGAGTACCAAAAGGAAATTAATTCAAGACACAACAATACTTACTTCAATACATAAATTGTCAGAGACAGTACCAGAAGTCCCCCCAAAAAAGTCTCTGAATTGATATTATGCCCTAATGAGTACCACCTGACCTTCAATTGAGACATTGTCAGACTTGGGGCTGAAGATATATGGACAGCTTTTGAAGGGTTTATAATCTAATTGTATTAGTTGCATTATACATTTTTATTAATCTTTTACACATATTTGCCTTAAGGCTCAGAAGTAGGGCAATGTCTTTTGCTTAATCCTCGTAATACAGAGACACATTGGTGTAAACACACACACACAACACATACACAGCAGACAAGCCTCAAAGAACATTCAGGTGAGGAGAGCTCTGAGACATCAGTTAGTTCAGGTGTTTTCAAATTCTTTCTGGTGGTGATGAGGGGGGCCTGGGTCATCCACTGGAATAAAATCTTATATGAACATGAAAATACAAAGGTAGATAGATAGATAGATGATAGATAGATAGATAGATAGATAGATAGATAGATAGATAGATAGATAGATAGATAGATAGATAAAAGGAAAACGCAGAGCTGCTTTGGGAGGGGAGGACTGACAGCCCCTGACAGGACTCCTTGGAACCCCCGGTTCAGCTGAATGTTTGAACCACTGGCGTTTTCAGTGAATGAGTGACAGCTGAGGCCCGTCCCCCGGTCAGTTGCTCATTTAAGCCAGCCTCTGCCCAGCGTCGCCTGTCATCTGAAAATCTTTCCTTGCCAAAGGTTTTCCAGGGTTACATTCAGGTCTATTGATAAACTGATTTCAAGAAAAGAAGAAAACACCTACTCTGTGTAAGTTTTGAGCCCTTAGTACAAAGATGAGTAAAGCACACATACCTCAATCATTTACATGCATTACATATGTGTTCATATGTATGGTAGGGGGCAGGGAGATCAGTTCACAAATACATAGAAAATGTAGAATGTAATATATCCCATAAGAGGGGTTCCTGGCTGGCTCAGTTGGAAGAGCATACAACTCTTGGTCTTGGGGTCATGAATTCAAGCCCCACGTTGGGTGTAGAGATTACTAAAAAAAAAAAAAAACAAACAAATACTAATAAACTTTTAAAAATGTGTGTGTGTGTGTGTACATACACCTCCAGTAAGAACAAAAGGCTAAACATATTCAAAGGGGGGAACTGCATTAGTTTGGGGGGAAAAAGAGATGAAGGAGGAAGTAGAACCAGCTGGAAAGATTTCACAAAAACCATAGTAGTTGAGATAGGTAGGTTTTCAAAAGGAAAAGAAAAAGAGTGAGGAAGGAGGACAGTCCTATCAGAGAGAACAAATGGATGAGCAAATGGACGGAAGCAGAACAGCGCAGGATGGAGGTAAGAACCGGCCAGTAGGGTAGCAGGCGCCTAATGCTTTCCATGTAAGATCCTGCTCCACTTTGGGGATCTAAGTCAATGAGAAAACTGCATTTTTTCAGAGCCAACTTCACTAGCATGTAGCTCTACTGTAAGAGTCACATGAGTATGATGATTTAGCAACTCAAGATTCACCCCCTGGCTATCACATTACGGGGATATGTCCTCTGCAGAAGAGAAAGGCTGAGTTCCTGGGTGGTAAATGGGCTAAACCGAGGTGGGAGATCTGGGTCTGACCTCGTATGTGCTATGAAGTGTGACTCTGAACAGGTAATATGAACTCTCACAAGCTCTGTATCTCTGTCTAAGCTCATGTATAAAACAGGAATACTGCTTGTGCTATTTGGTGGCATTGTTGGGAGAATCCTTCCTCATGGCCAGCTTACATTCCATGGGCAATAATAATCAGTCTCTGGAATACCCTCTCGAGTTTCTGGCCCCTCTCCCATTTTGTTGTACTTCTTCAGCTAAACTACACCCGGGCTGAATCCAATCCTCCACTGAAGTGTGTACCTGCACCCATGCAGCTGAATTTGGCTAGAAAAAAACCGGACGTGCTGAGCGTCCCCCCTTCACCCCTATTTGAGAAGGACCTGGTGGTGCTGTTCCACTGACTCTTCCCTCACCCACCCCGTTAATTTTCCCTGCTTGACTGAATCGTTCCCATAAGCATCGTAACAGGCTATTATCTCTGTCACTTTAAAAACCATTCCCTCTCTCAGAAGCTCTTCTCTGGCCCCAGCCCCCTTTCTTCTCTTCGGGACTCCTTGAGAGTTGCCTACACTCTTCATCTCCCAGTCCTTTCCCCCTATTTCCTCCGGAACCTACTACTCAGGCTTTTACACACTACCACTCCACAAAAGTGCTCTGATTGAGGGCCCCAATGACTTCCATGCCATCACATCCCAAGGTCAGTTAAGGCTCCCACTTCTCCCTTGATTCATCAGCAGACTTTGACACAGCTGCCCCCTCTGTTCCTCACTGAAACGACTTCACTTGGCTTCCAGGAGACCACAGTTCTTCCAGTTTTCTCCTGACTTCTCTCGCTGTTCCTTCTCAGTCTTCTTTGCTGCTTCTTCCTCATCTCCCTGACCTCTAAATGCAACAGTCCTCAGTCCCTGCCCCTCCTCTTGTCTTTCTCTCCACCCATGCCATGGGGATCCCACTTAGTCCCACAGCTTCAGATAGCATATATATACGGTGATGACTTCCAATTTTTTCCCCCTAGCCTGGAGGTCTTTCTTAAACACCAGATTTGTCAATCCAACTTCTTCCTCAACAGATCCCTATCAGTTAAATACCTCAGACTTAATATCGTCTAAGTGGAGCTGCTGATCATCTGGCCTCACACCTGCTCCGCCCAGTCTTGCCCATCTCTGTAATTCCAGTCACTCTGACCAAAAAAAACAAAAACAAACAAACAAACAAACAAAAAAAAACCCTTAGAGATTCACTTCCACTCTTCTTTCTCACACATTCCACACCGATCAGCAGCAAATCCTACCAGCTCTGACAAGACATATACCCAGTTGAACTGCTTCCCGCCACTTCCACTGCTACTGTACTGGTTTCAGCCACTATCATCGCACCTGAATAAATGCATTTGCCCATCTGATCTCCCTGCCTCCACTTTTATAACACATTGTAAACTCAGCAGCCAGAGTGCTCTGCTGCAAATGTAAGGTTGATTATGTCATTGCTCTGCTCAAAACGTTTCAAAGGATCCCCATAGGACCCCCTCAGTCCTCACTCTACCCAATGAGACTATGTGATCTTTCCCCTATGTCTGAAATTTCTGACTTCCTCTCCTACGCTTTCCCCTGGCTCATTCTGTTATAGTTCTACCTGTTACTTGCTGTTTCTGAAACACATCAGGCATGACCCTGCCTCAGGGCCTTTGTACACACTATTCTCTCTACCTGGAATGTTCTTCCAAGATACCTGCATAGCTTATTCTCTCATCACCGTTTTGTCTTTACTGAGATACCACCTTCTCCAGCCATCCGAAAATTGCACCCCAACAACCTGCAGTCCCTTTCTCACTCTGTTCTTCTCCTTAGTACTTATCACCAATATGACATATGCTTTCTTCTTCATATTTATTATTGACATCCCCATTAGAACATAAGCTCCATGAGACAGGGTTTACAGTTTGCTGCTGAACCCACAGTGATTACTGTGGTCTTCCCAAGCATTAGCAGTTCAATAAATTCGTTGACTGAAAATAAGAATATACATGGAACTACTCTAAAATAATAAAGTAAAAATGTATGCAAGTACCACAGCCTGAAGACAACCAACCTTAGTCATCTTTAAAAAGGAAAATCACTCTCTATGTCAAGAATAAAACATTTAAAAAAAGAAGAAAAAGAAAATCAGGGGGGTGCCTGGATAGCTCAGATAATTAAGCTTCCAACTTCGTCTCAGGTCATGATCCCACAGTTTGTTGAGTCAAGCCCTGCATCGGGCTCTGTGCTGACACCTGGCAGCCTGGAGCCTGCTTCAGATTCTATGTCTCCCTCTCTCTCTGCCCCTTCCCCCCTCACATTGTCTCTCTCTCTCTCTCTCTCTCTCTCTCTCTCTCTCTCTCTCATAAATAAACATTTAAAAAAATTTTAAATCACTTGTCCATGCCAACATTCTATGAGAGGGTGTCCTGTTAAAATCTGTGCTAATTATAATAAATTTGAACATGTTCTTAGTCACTTAATAGAAAATATGGGGACGCTTGGGTGGCTCAGTTAAGCATCCAACTCTTGATTTCAGCTCAGGTCATGATCTGACTGTCATGAAATCAAGCCCTGCATCAGGCTCCATGCTAGGTGTTGAGCCTACTTAAGATTCTCTCTCCCTCTCAAAAAAAAAAAAAAAGTGTAAATCTGCCTGTTGCACAGAAGTGAAAGATTGCTGTTACAAAAGCCTGAAGGCTTGGGGTGCACCTGGGTGGCTCAGTCGGTTAGGCGTCCAACTTTAGCTCAGGTTATAATCTCATGGTTCGGGAGTTCGAGCCCCATGTCAGCTCTGTGCAGACAGCTTAGACCCTAGAGCCTGCTTCGGATTCTGTATCTCCCTCTCTCTCTGCCCCTCCCCAGCTTGCTTGCTTGCTCTCTTTCTCTCTCTCTCTCTCTCAAAAATAAATAAAACATTAAAGTTATTTTTTTAAACAATATAAAATAAATAAAAGCCTGAAGTCTTGGGGCAGCTGGGTGGCTCAGTCAGGTAAGACTCTAGATTTTGGCTCAGATCATGATTTCACAGTTCTTGTGTTCGAGCTAGGCATGGGGCTCCACGCTGGCAGTGTGGAGCCTGCTTGGAATATTCTCTCTCTGTCTCTCTCTCTGTCTCTCTCTCTCTCTCAGCCCCTCCCCAGCTCACTCACTCTAAGGAAATAAACTTAAAAAAAAATAAAGAAAAGCATGAAGGCTACACAATTGGTACTATGTGCTTTTTCACCAATGCCTTTCACAAAGGTATGCTGTCCTTACACGTATGAAGAGTGATACTGCTGCCCTACCAGAGGACATGAACTCTCAGCTGTGCTTCCTTGAAATCAAGTAATTCACTTGTATGGCAACCAGGAAAGGGAAGGCCATCCTTTTCAGTCACAAAATAATTCACTGTCCCTGCTGATGTTTACCGTTCCACATGGAAATCAGATTAATAACTACATACTGAGCATTTACTATGGGCTAGGCACCACGCTTGATCCTTTAGATGCATTATCTCATTTAATCCTTCAGGAAACCCCTTTGAGGTAGTCCCCTCATTTTACTGATGAGGCAACTGTCTCAGAGAGATAATATGCCCAAGGTGACACAGCAAAGCAGGGATTTTGACCCAGGTCTAATAGATTTTAAAGTCTATGCTTTCAGCTATACTGTCTGTGACCCTGATCATACTGGTATAATCCAAATAGGTGAGAGTGACAAACCTTGTGTATGAAGAAATCCTGGCAGCAATTTTGAGCACTGATCTGTCCTAAACCCTAAGGCATTTTTATGGGTGGGGAAAAAAAGCCCTTTAGGCATCTAGTAAGTCCTAGAAGTCTTAGTGCAAAATCAGATAAAATTTTCTTTTACTTTTTGTCCTGAGGTCAAGTTTAATGTTAAGTGTTTCATTCCAGTTACTTCAAACGCTCTCAGATAGTTAGGTTAAAACACAAAAGCATTAGTGATACATTTAAGCTTTAGCATATGCAAAGTAAACACATACTACATATTGATTAAAATCTGAATTTAAAAGAAGAAATCATCTCCCCCAGAAGCATGTGACACAACATCAATTTAAGAATGAAAGAGAAAAACTCATAAACTGAAGTCGATTAATGCCAAGACATTTTTTTTTCAGAAGTTTGAGAAAATGGAGTAAACCAAGCAAGGACCCATGCATTTGCCAACCTGAAATACGCAATAAGGACAAATTAACTTCACCTGTCCTTGCACAGGACTTTATCAAAATGTAAAAGGCATCAATTTGAAAACCAACAATGAACTGTGTGAGTGCTACTTGAAGAAATCACATTTTCAACTCACACGTTATTTAAGGATAATTTAAATACCAAATAAAGAAACAACTTGCCTTCTGAAAAGGAGTAGCCATATGCACTAAACATTAAATCAGGAAATGATTATAAAATTTCAAAGAGATTAAACAGATAAAGCGTACCTGTGGCTCTTTAAAAGATCACATTTCTACACAGATGTTGCATCACCAAGACTTTTGTAAAGGGGTGGAGTGCTTTTTTTAAAATCCTAGTTTCTTTCACACATTCTTTAAAAAGTCCCAAACGATATTAACATACAGGAGAAAGCTCAAATACAATGTTAAAAGAATAGCTGCATTTGGTTAATGAAATCAAACTTTACAGGAGCTATATTACAATAGAATTCACTTAATATTTTAATAGTGAAACTTTAAAAATATTACTGTTTTAAGAAAATAAAAGGCATTAAAAGAGTAGCTAGTAGGATCTTTTGCTGTTAGTCTGCAAGACTGAATCATCTTGTGAAAGATATATTCATCAGCCCCTTGTAAGTCTCACCTGATTCAAATTGACAGACCAATCTAATCAATATGGCATAATCTGTACAATCAAGCTTTAAATCCGATACATAGCAATTAGAAGAATACATTTGAAAACTGAAAAAGCAAAACAGAAACAAAGACCTAGGGTGAACATATACATGCCCTATCCCAACTCACTGCACCTGTGCCTAGCAAGTTTTTTTTTTTGTTTGTTTTTTTTTTTTTTGACCAGCAGCGTCTCACAACTATGACTGATCTTTGGGTGCGTCTCTAACAAGATTAACCAAGCCTGTCTACTTCATCACCTGGAGAGTTATTAACTCCTGAAGTCGCCATCCTGCCAGTCTCTTCCCAGCTTTTCCCAGCAAAGAAAGCACCTCAGCTGCCATGTTGAAGATGCTCTTTCACACTGCAGCAAAAGTTCCCTCCCATAATGCCTTAAGAACATCCCCAGCATGCATCAGATTATGTTTTTTCTAGGTCATAGGATCTTGTAATTGGGATCCTATCTATATGTGTTGAAATAAGGTGATCTAATGTGTTGAAATGTGGAGATCTGGAAGCCAATGTTGCTGCCTACACATTTCACATACATTGTGTAATTATATATCTATTCCCCATTTTAAGTGATCATCACACACTTGATTTTTAAATATTCTGAAGCTTTCAAAAGTCAGGAGTTGGTTGTATGGATTTTACCCAAAGCTTGCATTTAAGGAATTGTGAGGATAAACCATGTTAGTAATGGCCATATACTGATGAAGCATGATGTTACCATCCCACTTTATCAGACACCTGGAAAAGGGAAGAAAAACTAAGTTCTGAGAGGTACATGTTTGGAGAAACATAAAAAAGGGTTCAGTGCCATAAAGGGTGAGTAGATAGCACAGTGCCCATTTCAATGTTCTGCAGCTACTGCTGAAAATTAACTGCTACAGATCCCTGTAAACAAAACCTTGCTGCTGAATTAGGGGGCGCATCGCACCGTGGCGTAGCCTTTAATTTTGTCTGTAAAGTCTTCTATTGCCTAGGTAATTTTTCTCCAAAGGAACACAGCTATGGTTTTAACAGATGCTAATCAAAAATAATTGGGTTACAGAACTTCACTTTAAATTAGGGGAGCCTGGGTGGCTCAGTCGGTTGAGCATCCAACTGCAGCTCAGGTCATGATCTCACAGTTCATGAGTTTGAGCCCCACATTGGACTCTGTGCTGACAGCTCAGAGCCTGGAGCCTGCTTCGGATTCTGTGTCTCCCTCTCTCTGCTTCTCTCTCTCTCTCAAAAATAAATAAACATTAAAAAAATTTTAAAAATCAAATTAACTTAGTTATAATAAATGTATTTTGTCTAAGTGAAAGTTACAGACTGTATCTCCTGTCATGTTACCTACTTGTCAACAATAAAGTAATACAAACCACAAGTATAGATTACAAAAAAAATCTGTGACCAGCAGTAATACTCCCATAGTAATAACTTTGTGTAGCAGGGAGAATTTTGCAACTATACCTTTTTTGCCACATGACTTACCCTCCACATTTGCTAGAGGAGCCAGTCTAACAGGTTAGTTCTTTGTTAATGTAGTTACCCAGTACTTTATACTGTTAAAAATTATGCAACAATGTAATCTTTATTTCTTACAAAATGGCCAAATAAGTCACTAAAATTCAACCCCATGGCCACCATGTGAAACTGGATGACCCTGTTTTGTTTTTTTTTAAAGCTCACTCTGCTCTTCAGTATTAAACACATCTTTATAAGTGAGACTAATAAAAGAACTCAAAGACTGATCAATCTGTTGAAGACTGAAATCCTGTAACCATTTAGTCAACTCTCAAATATTAGCACTGGTAAAGAGAAGGGCACAGATATTCCAAAGACAGATTATTCAAAATGTATATTATGGGGGGTGGGGTGCCTCACATTTTACAAATTAAAAAATTATTAACTAAAGTATGTATTTATGAAGCTAAATACAAGAAGCCATGGAAAAGTACTCATAGAGTCAATGTCTCCATACTAGGGATGAGGAATACTTTCCATTCTGCTCTCTTCACGTTCATTTGTTTACCTGGCCCATGCATGTTTCACTAAGGTGAGGGAGGGAGGGAAATGGAATTCGGTATTTCTGTTTTGAAGTGTATTTTGGGATAAGCAAGGCCAAGCTCTGCCAACTGAAGAGGAGTCTCTAAAGTGTCAAAGACACTCCCAAGAACCTGTACACACTCCTGAACACAATTGGCCTTATGTTTCTGCTAACGCTTTTTGGCAACTCCCACTCTTTGCCTTGGTAGTTTTTTCTCTTACCTATCTAGATGGGCTGTAGGCCGATTGCTATAAATGTTTATCTATGTTTGCAGTGTGTGTGTGTGTGTGTGTGTGTGTGTGTGTGTGTGTGTGCGCGTGAGAGAGAGAGAGAGAGAGAAGTAGGGAGGGAGAGAGAAAGGAAACAAACTCTCTGTGGATAAATAAACTATACAAGTCTGAATACTACTGCCCTCACAATGGAACCACAGTCTATTTCCCAAAGGAAACACTAACCTCACTGGTATCTTACTTCTTTGATCAATCCCGGCGTAGTGTGCTAAGTAGCTGAATTCAGAGACAGTGAATTCAGGTCTGCTTATGAAAATTTCTGGCCGCACTTAAGGTTTTTCTAATGCAAACTAATAATCGGTCCACTTTAGCACTGAGCTGTACAAGAACATCAAGTCTTGAATTTCTTTACACTTGCAATTCAAAAATAGTGATTAGCACATGAAAACTACCAGTTCATCTGTTTCAAGTTTATAACCTATTATAATTAAAGCGATTCATAGAAAGACCAGAAATACAAGAGAGGCAGCATTGTATACAGGGTTTTGGTCCTGGTTCAGCAGCTTGCTGAACTGTAAGACCTGGAACAAATTAAATAACTTCTTGTCTGTTTCCTCATCTGTAAAATGAGAAAGCTGGGTTCTTATTTTAAGATATCACAGACCAGTAAGTTTTTGAAACAAAAAAAGGATGGTGAGAGAAATAACACAGCTGCCTTTTTTTTTTTTTTTTTTTTGGCCAGGTATGGACATTTAAAAAAAAAACAAAAGAAACAAACAAAAAAACCCTACCATTTGCTATCACCATCATTTCATAGAAGATAGAATGTATTTAATCCCCCAAATTAGATGGACAGATCTTATAATAACAAGTAATCGTGTAAATGGGAAGAGTTTAGCTTTAAGAAACAAATGGCCCATTGTCCTTACTCTCCTCACTTCACCGTGGACCAATAAAAACTCTTCACTGACCAGCATTTGTCTGAAAATCAATGTTTGGGAAATACTAGACTAGATAATTTTCAACGTCCAAGACTCAAACACTGTGATTCTAATTTAAGTGCTCTGTTGTATTTCTTTGATTCCATGCTATGGTCTAGAGTAGATGCTTCAGCGAAGGACAGGACTAATACTTACAACTCTGAAAATCAGGAATATATTTAAGTCAGTTTTGAGAAACAGTAACTGGAATAAGGTTTAATTTATTAGGGAGGATATATGCTACTACAGATCTATCTTCATCAGTAATAATGAACCTCATTACAGATAAGGAAATTGATGCAAAGGGAAGCAAGATACCTTGTCAAAGACACTCAACAGCCTGTAAGCCTCAAGAGTCAGAACTGGAACTCCAATCTGTGAGTCCATGTTTTGGTACCACTCAAGGAAAAAGATTTTACTTAGATTTCAATTATCACCTCCCCTTTTATAAATGAGTGATGATGGTCTAAATTTTACAAGGTGTACAGGGTGAAAAGTTTTCCCACTTTACTTTTCCAAATCCTGCCTTTTTAAGACAAACATTGGCAGGGTTTTTCCACTACAAAATGAGTCAAGACGCCTGTTAGTATGGTTAAAACTTAATTTTCTCCAAAAGCTGATAAAATTACAAAGTTAGAATTTTTAAAGAACAAATACTTACAGATTTCCTTTTTCTCTCAAGAAGAACACGTCTATCTTCTTTGATTTCAATCTGCAATAAAAGACAACACTTATGGCTACAATGACATGAGAAAAGAACTCCTTTAAAAAAAAACAAAACTCAAGTGCTGTTTTGCATTACCTGTGCACCTTAGCTCATGATGAGCCAGGTATCAAAGGAAAACCAAGAAATGACTAGAGATGATCTGGCTAGAAGTAATGCTATTAGAATCTCAGAAAAGTAATTGAGCCTGATTAAGAAACCGTAGTCAAAACTCTGTGGGGAAAAAATGGCAAGATTAACAAATGAGTGGAGGGGGTATCTGGGTGGCTCACTCGGTGAAGCATCCAGCTCTTGGTTTCAGATCAGATCATGATCTCGTGGTTCATGAGTTTGAGTCTGGGTGTCGAGCTCTGTGCTGACAGTGCGGAGCCTGCTTGGAATTCTCTCCCTCTCTCTCTCTCTCTCTATCTCTCTCTCTCTCTCTCTCTGCCCCTCTCCCACTCTCTCTCTCTCTCTCTCTCTCACACACACACACACACACACACACACACACACACACACACATACACACACACTCTCTCTCTCTCTCCTCTGTCTCTCAAAATTAATTTTAAAAACTTTACAAAAATGGGCAGAGGAACTGAATAGATATTTTTCCGAAGACATACACATGGCCAACAAGCACATGAAAAGGTGCTCAACATCATTCATCATCAGGGAAATGCAAATCAAAACCACAAAGAGCTATCACATCATACCTGTCAGAATGGCTATCATCAAAAAGACAAGAGATAACAAGCGTTAGATGTGGAGACAAGAGGATGTGGAGAAAAGGGAAGCTTTGTGCACTGTTAGTGGGAATGTAAATTTGCACAGCCACTATGGAAAACAGTATGGATGTTGCATAAAAAGTTAAAAACACAACAATCCTATGATTCAGCAGTCCCACTTCTGGGTATATGTCCCAAGGAAATGAAAACAGGATAGCAAAAAGATATCTGCACTCCCATGTTTACCGCAGCATTATTCACAATGGCCGAGATATGGAAATAACCCAGGTGTCCGGCCAGTGGATGAATGGATAAAGATGTGGTGTGTGCATACATACAATGGAATATATTCAGCCATGATAAAGAAGGAAAGCCTGCCATTTGCAATGACCTGGATGGACCTTGAGGACATTATGCTTAGTGAGATAAGCCAGGCAGAGAAAGACACATGTTGCATGATGTCACTCATATGTGGAATCTAAAAATTCCACGCCTAGGAACAGCGTATAATGGTGGTTATCAGGAGTTGGTAAGGGGGTAGGGGAGACTGGCGAGGTGTTGTTAAAGGGTAAAAATTTGCAAACAGAAAATGAGTAAGTTCTGGAGATCTAATACACAACATAGTGATCATAGCCAACAAGACTGTGTCATACACTTCCAAACTTCAAAGAAACTAGATCTTAAATGTTCTCACCACCAAAAAGAAATGATAATTATGTGATGCAATAGAGGTGTCAGCTATAACTACAGTGGTAATCATAACAATATATAAATGTATCAAATCAACACGTACGCCCCGCACAATGTTATATGTCAATTGTATCTCAATAAAAAATTTTAAAGTAAAATAAAAAGAAAATGGCAAGAAGCAGGATTCATGCTCTTAACAGTTTTATTTGTACTTCTTATTCCCCCCCCCCCATCTCCCAAACAGGACAGGAGCCAAGTTCAGAGACAGAGACAAAGTGTGACCACAGAAAACTAGTCAATCTACCTAGATATCCCCACCCCCAAGTGCCTGCAGGCACCTAGCGATTTCCCCATAAAAACCCACAATGAATAATTTCCTTTAAACAGCAAAAGGTGGGGCGCCTGGGTGGCGCAGTCGGTTAAGCGTCCGACTTCAGCCAGGTCACGATCTCGCGGTCCGTGAGTTCGAGCCCCGCATCGGGCTCTGGGCTGATGGCTCAGAGCCTGGAGCCTGTTTCCGATTCTGTGTCTCCCTCTCTCTCTGCCCCTCCGCTGTTCATGCTCTGTCTCTCTCTGTCCCAAAAATAAATAAACGTTGAAAAAAAAAAATTTAAACAGCAAAAGGTTCTTTCCAAATTAAAATAAAGCCCTGGTCTAGGTAAAACCTACAGATATTTTCATCTTTCC